AAAACGCCAATGTCAACAGCGATATCAGTCTTTGAAATGCCGCAATGCTGCATTATAAATTAATGCGCAGGTTCATAGAAACATAAGGGCTACTAAGCAATACTGCACTGAAAACAAACGCTACCGTTCAAGTAATATTTACTAGAAGTAGAAATATAATTGATTACATACAATATAATATTTCCTTCGTATAAGTGGACGTTTATTTATGCGTATTAAAATAATCGCGACAAGTATTCAAATTTATAATAACAATATTGAGAGTATCGGAATTTATGTTTAGAAAATATTTACCCTGGACAGGAAAATCGAAATTTAAAACCACCATCTTCGATGGAAAAAAAAATATTACATATAATTCAAATGAATACTCTCTTAAATTTAGAATTTTAGAATTTCACACTTACATTCGGTAATTCATTTATAAATTAAACTATTACTGCGTTCAAGTATTTACTACAAGCTATTAAAATATACTTAAATTGAGAAAAATATTTCTTGACTTAAGAGGTTGAGAAACAAAAGTACGTTTACTTGATTCTAATACCTTTTCCGTGCATCGATATCGTATCGCTTCTCGGGAGCCGAAAGTTACAAAGCGTATCGTTAATTCCCGATGCGCGTGTACGCCTCCGTGAACCGTGAGGAAGACATGGAGGCCGACGAACTATTTATCCTGGCCCGCAGATTTCTATCTCGCACAGCAGATACGTTAATGGACGAGGGAGCCAGAGCCTCGTACTTCCTTTCGAAGAGAAGAAGCCACGTCTTATTGTCTCTCGCATGAAGGTCAGCACCTTCTGCCGTGAGTAGACGGATAACTAACGCAACCGGATCCTCGCGCGCACACGTGCCGATGGTATACGTACGCGTCGAGGAAATTGCACGCGACGTACAGTGTCATTCCGACTCTCGCAGTACGCTGCGTGGTCAACACATCGCGAATAAGTAATACACAGGTTGTCCCGGATCCCCGACGGTCAATTTTAACGATACTTTCTTCGGCTAACCCGTAATCGAACTCGTTCCAGGAGAAAACCCGTCGCGGTTTTCTAATATTCGACGTTAAATCTAACATTCGATTTTGCGCGAAGATAACACCCGGGACAACACCGGCGCGGGTGTCACAATCGACCGAGTAGCTGTTAACTTGCGCGATTTATCACGCGAGCGTTCGAAATTCGCGAGTCCGAAAAGAATCCGACCGTGGAAGCGGAAGCTCGCCCCACGGGTGGTACCGGCGTCTCATCGTTTCGCTCTCGAAACGATCACGCGAAATCGTGTTGCCGCGCGATAGCGAAACGCGTGGGCCGATCATTTCCCGTTTCTGCCGCTGGGAGCCCGCGCATCCTTCGCATCGAGATTCAGGCAGAAGGAGATCAATGGATAGCGCCGCGGAGATATATATCGGTGGTGGTTTACACGAAGGTTGAGACCCTGAGACGTGGTTCCGAACGAGAGTTGAGGCCCGCAGCCTTCAATCATTGTCAATCAGTTCGGACGAGGCACCGTTATGGTGTCTTCGTGCTATCGTCGTCCCATAGTCTCTCTCTCTCTCTCCGGATACACCTACCATACTTTGGCAACATTCCGGCGCTACTACGCGGTACCGTTCTTCGCGGATATTTGCGAGGATACACCCCTCGAGAATCCAAGCGCAAAATAGAACGGGAGGGTGCGGATCTTCAAAACAAAAGTTGTCTCGACGAAAAGAAAAAAATTGAATGAAGTATCCGTGAATAAAAAGAGAACCATCCCTTTCTTTTCCTTCTTTCCTCTTTCTGTCGTTACCTGTCGTTACCGAGAAAAACTGTCGTGAAAGCTTCTCCTAGCTTCTCGCGATATGTTTTGCGATCGCGTCTGGAGCGGACAATCGGCTGCCGATCAGAAGTTCGAGTTTCTGCATGAGTAGCGTCAAGCCCGGCGAAAGCCCACGTCGCGACAGAGATTGAAGAATAAGAAGAAGAAGAAGACATTGTTGCAGGAGACAAACCGATCGCTCGCGACGTATTTCAAGCACAGCGCTATCCAATTTAGCTCGAGCACGCTCCTCTCGTTTTACGAGGCCGGATGCGGTCCGTCCACCTTGCTTGCAAATGCGCCCAAGGAGGCGGCGACGGTTCTCGCAGGCGCGAGGAGAGCTAGCCGTCGCGAAATAGCGTCTCCTTCGCTGAGATTGCCCGGCTCGTAACCGGCGACATTGATAAGTAAGTAGGATTCAGGGGGATCGGGAGACTGGGGTACGAGTGCAGGCAGGATGTTTGGCCCGAGCAAATAGATTTTACGAGCCCGGTCGTTCGCGAACGTAACAGTTACCTCGAGCGAAGAGCTCGTCCTCCTCCTCTACGTGGCACATTTTCGCTCGGCGACGATAAAGTGCGCGCGACGAGAAAGAAGGTAAAAAAGGACGGGAAGGGCATAGGAAGAGGAGGAGGGGGGAAGACGGCAGCAGCGCGAGCGAGACACGAGGTGTAAATATTCGCAGGGCGCGCGTGGGCGCCGGACGGATAAAGACACTTTGGGCCGGCAGTACAGGTGCGCGAGCGTTCTGAGAATGGGAGAGAGAGGAAAGCGTCGCGACACACGCGTTTATTATTTCGCACCACCTGCGAGAGAACGCGAGCTCTATCACCGGGCATCGAATAGCCCCGCCGACGCTTATCGTCGAGCCCTCGCGCGAGCGACGCGACACTGATAGGAGAGCGCGCGAATCCCGCGAGACTCGTATAATCCGCTCTTACTCGCGCTCGTTCCCTCGGCTAAGTCACGCCGCCGGTAAGTCTCCGCGCAAATTTTAACGCGCGCGAATATCACGCCCGACGAGAGAGAGAGAAAAAAGGCGCGAGTTTTGTCCCTCGTCAGAGAGCTCCGCAAGGTGTTTCACCTCTTCGAGCTTCGAGGTCGCGTATCTTGAAACGTGTTGGCGATACATACAGATGGAAGAAAAGAATGTTGAGCCCATACGATCGAATCGGTTCTACTTGAGAGGGAAAGAAAAAGAGAGAGAGAGAAATTCTTTTTTCATAACGTCATGTTCGATTTGAGAGTTATTAAAGATGCGACGTGAGAAATTTCAAATGCGAAACTGAAATATCGTCCATCAACATGTGACCTCTATTTATTACGCGCACGATGCGCTTGTGATATAACGTTAGCCGCCGCGGTGAACGTTACCTAGAAAGACCAGATAGAAAACGGGGCAGAAAGAGATACGGTCGCGACGACGAGGACGAGGACGGAAATCGACGTGTCCTCTATAAGATACGGGATGCGCGAGGTTGGGAGCCGACAGTCGGCGCACGTCTATGATCGCGTACAGGCCATTATTTCACGGGGAATTATTGCTATTACGCCACGAGCGCACGCTAGTAACCTCGTTATATCGTTACTGTTGGTGTAGGTGAGCCGTGACAACTCCTGATGCATCGTAAAACAAACGATCGATTGGAGACTCGGCTCGCGCGACGATGTAACCTGATTTTACCGCAACAGAAATACACAAGCACGGATCTTTAACTTCTTAGGTAACTTCTTAGGAAAGGACGATGGTGAAATAGGCTGATTTTAATTCCCAGAGTGGCAGGTGAAAACGGGATGTTAACGAAAGTGCAAAACTATAGTGGAATAAGCAGTATTAAATAAGCAATCGATGTGTGAACAATACAAATTAGCGAATAAAGAAAGTTGTATTGAGTCAAAGCGGATTTCGGTGCTTGAAAATAGTTTTTACGGAAATTTTACAATGTCCAATAGCAAATTGCTACAATAGTAAAATATTTTTAATGAACAGAAATCGGTATATTTTCCCATCGTCCTTTGCTTCACATCCCTTAGAAAAGAATCTTCTGTAAATTTTCTGTAAATCTTCGAAAAATTTTTATGCGCTTGGCTAGGTACGGTTTTCCCGACGCTTGACGCTTTATAAATGCAAATTAAAAGCTTAAGACTCCCGTGAGCTTTAGAAGAACGTCGCTGACGGGAATTCGCGCGTTTATATTCCGAATCAATCTGGCCGCTACACCGCCCGTATTGTCATGCAAATCGCCGTGGCGCCGTCTGCGCGACGTTATCTCACCGCAGCAGGACGAGCCAGACACTTTGAACGACAATTCCGCGTTTATGCCGTCGAGTATTCAATTAAACCGTCTCGTGAACGATGTCCAAGATGACGAGCGGCGAACCAGGTTCAAAGCGAGATATTACGTGGGAGCGACCGCGCCTCGTTGTTAATATCTGTCCTCGCGGGTTACCGCGGGTTACGACCCCTAGGATTATCCACCCTGCCGAAAGGAGGCACTCGGTCAAAGCAGCACGTGCTCGTCGGAGGTTAATTTAGCCACAGCGGGCTGCCTCGAGAGTGAGATAAAGCATTTGCGGACGCACCCGACCGATATCTCAAGTCTACCATTGATCCGTGAGACGTGTAAGTTTAATTAAAACTCCACGGGAAGGGTTGAGTCCATCATCATGGAGATGACCCTTAAAGCGACCTAATTTCCTGTCACTGCACGTGCCTGCGGAATCTGCTAAACAACTCGCGTAGAAATTTTTCGAAAGCGTGCTCATACACAAGTGGAATTATAAATAATTTTATAATAAATGTACTTAAGAACATCGGGAAATATTATCAAGTTGCGTTGCACTAAAGCGACATCGTCCTTCTTCTTTCGCTTCTAAAATTGGTACGTACATTCTGAGTAAAATAATAACATTTTACACGCGAGCGAGATAATAACTCAAACGAGACAACGCGTCACCCGATGCGTTTTAATCGACTACCGTGGCATTTTAAACATACAGAATGGTTAGAATTTCGCAATGATACTCGCGAACTGGAACCGAGGTATCTAACCGTACACGAGGAGCAACGCGCCTAATTACTTTAATCGCTTCGCGGAAACATCCGCGTATAAACGGTCCTCCTTTTTCCATCTAGCTGGTAGCGCGAGCAGCGCTCGAGATAATGCGATGGAACAATCATAGATCGTGAAGCAACTCACCGTTTCGCAGGCGACACTCCTAACTACCGTCAGCAACGCAGCGGCAGGTGAGAGATAAGTCCGGACAAAGTTCTCCAAGTTACCGTGGTAAGCGCAAACCAGGATGTCCCGGGCTTGTCTTATCAGCAAACTCATAACACCTTCGCCGTAAATTGGCCCGAGCAAGTTGCGGACCAGGGAAGCGAAGTCCCCGCGATTCTGCAACAGAGTCAGACGCGACCGATTAATTGGTTTTCGGCGCGAAATCCCCCGATTCGATTCCCACCGTCAGCGAGATTAACCGCGTCGTTCCTTCGAACTCCCCCTGACTTTTGTCATGGGTCATTTTGAGGTTGACCGACGGTACATTAATCACGCGTTTTCAACGCATGTCCGGACACCGGAAGCGGTCGAGACGAGGGATCGAACGAGGTTTCGCGAGTCCGTTCCACATCGTCACGGTATCGTCACGACCGCCGCAAAATCTGTTACTGGCAGTTATCCCCTCGACGTCAGAGTAAACAAGGGGGAAAATGTACTGGGTTNCAACACCCGCGGGAGAGAAACGTCAATATTCGGGCGCGCCGGCTAGAACCAATACCGGCTTGTTCCCGAAGCACATCTGTGCGAAATCGAATCAGCTGCGTCTCTTGAATTCGTTAAATAACGTATTATAAATTTCAGTATCTGAGATGGTGTGCATGGCTCTTACAATGACAATGTCTTTCATCGTAAGATACTTTTTTATCCAAATTATAAACACAGGCCATTCTGAAAGAAAAGTTTCTTCACCATTTTGCAAATAACCAAGCAGATTGTTCAATGATCGATTAAAGACGCCTCCTCTTATACACAGCCATTTTCAACTATTAACAACTCAAAATTTTGTACGGTTGTTTGCAAAATGGTAGGGGATTCATATCGACCGAATTGAACTACATGACGGATGTCCCACTTAGCGAGCAGACGTCCTGCATGCGGTCGCAAGAATGAGTTTACGTTTTCCCTAAACGTTGCGTCGCCGCGGGCAGGTCTGTAACGCGTTTCCCAGCGCGAAAGTCCAATTTCGGCGAGCCGTTCCCCGCATACCTGCGATAAAAGCGACGCGCCGAGCCAGTGTCTTTTGCGAAACGTCGATATTGCGCCATCGGCGCTATCTCCCGGCATCGCTTTCCCACCGAGATTCGAATACCGAGGTGGACAAGTGGCTGTGTGTCGCCTCGCGCGTCCGATGTGGGTGCATTGTATCGAGCCGCATCGCCACACGTTGGAGTGCATAAACATCGGGGTTTAGCGAGGGCACACGAGAGACGATGCGGTGTAACCATTATACGTGCGCCCGATCGCCCACGTATTTCCGCCCTCATGGTGCGCGTGCGGACGGCCGACCATAACGCGCGATCGCCGGAGTGTCGAGAGTGCCTTGCGCGAGAGACCTGTCTTTTCGGAGAAACATCACCGCCGAAGGTTTCACGTGGGATCTGGGTGATCGAGAGCGAAACCGGATGCGGCGACAGCGCGTACGTGCGAGCCCGCGCGACTGCAAAAAGTGTGCTCGGCCTTTGTTTACGACCGAGTTTACTTTAACCGAATTTTATTCTCGCGTTACTTACGTCTACCCGAAATAAATCATGCAAAATGTCTTCCTCTCACCGGAGAAAAGACATCATCGCAGATTTAATCGAAGGACTTGTATGTTAGAGGTGAGATGATTGATTTGAAGAATATAGATTTTTTTAATATTAAAAGTAAAATGAAAAATAAAGTCAAAAGTATTTGTTAACAGTATTAATTTACGACAAATAAATACGTACTGTCTCACGTAGGTAAATCCCATATTGAAATTCATTATCTTTAACATTGAACTTGACGTTAACCTGGCACGTTGCGGGGAGAAAACAATATTATTTCCTGGGAATAATGTAAATGTAATAAATTAAGTATCGCGCGCGCGATGTACCTCGGCGAGGTCTGTCGGTAATTCTCGTTCTGTCACGTGGCGCTGTCCCACGGGGTGTGCCCATCATAATAACGGGCCAACACGACCGCTCGTCAGTACTAATATTTGGCCACCCGAAATTTATGGGAAAAGGGTAAGTCGGTGTTGCATAAAGGGCTCGTTAGGGGAGTTGCGCGCGAGACCCTCCCGCAGGGGATTCACGGGGTTGGAAACGGATGCGCGCCTACTCCGCATATAAATTAACCACGATTCACGTGCCGGCGATTTTAATCGTCTACCTTATGGGCACGCGTTGTTTATTAATGTATTTGCTCTCGCGTGAATAGATGAACGGTGATTTACCGTGATGTAGCCTCGTGTTTGAGTGCTAATGCGGAGTGGTCCATCCCGAGGGAAGGGGTGTCGGCGTCTTTTCTCAGAGGAGAAAGCAGATAACACGGTGCGAAGATCAGCCGCGGTTACACACCGTAAAATTATGTGTCAACCGTATTTAAAATACTCTCCCGCACGCATCTGTTTCAAATTCATTCTTCAGAGAAATTATACGATTAATTTCGACTGCACAAATAACAATCATACTTAATATTATCATCAAATCGTTGGATTCTGCATATATAAAAACATTTGCACACTTTTACACAATAATAAATGTGCGGAAGTAGATAATTCTACAAATATTTTTCAAATAATTTTTAGCAACGCTACTTTGTAATCCGTTTTAACTTGTTACTCTTTGAGGTTCCAGCGAAACGAAAGATGACACGAAAAAATACAATTGGGACTACGTTTATTATTTTTTCCTTTTCTTCAAATCAAGCACCAGGTTGACATCGATCTGCTTTTGATGTAGCGCGTACAAAGCCGTGAGAAAAGGGGCCAAAGATTAATGAATTCTCTAACCAAAATGCATCTCGTCGCTCCATGTCGGACAACGATAAAAACGGGGGCATTCATCCCCTCGTATGCACCTGATACGAGTGATCCGACGCGATGACGGCAAAGCGTTCCGTCCGTGAAATTGCAATCGCGCCTTTGCGCCAGGTCAGGTCTTAATTAGCCTCTTTGTTTAACGGTTCGCCTTGTATAATCGCGCCACTGCTCGCGAGCCCTTCGCGCAGCACGATTTGCATTTTGATCGACTGATTCTCGTTCCGCAAAGCCACGTTCTCCAGCAGGAGAGGTTTTAAACCCGTGGTCGGGATTTAGGGACGAAATGATACGCGCGCCGAGGGGTAAAGTGAAAATTATGTAGAATCTTAGAAGTGCCGGGGAAGAGATTGGGATGATTTAATGCGAATAAGAACAAAGATTGAATTTTTAGGAGCATTGCGTCGAAGCGATAAGTCATCATGTGCAAACAACAGCCTTGTGAAGATTACCTTGAAAAACGTCGACTTAGGATCGTGAAAATTGAGATTGTGCAAGCGTGGGAAAGAATTATGGAAGGGATAATGGAGATAAACGTATTATCAAAACTCCGTCTCACGACGAAATGCAATGAATGCTTCCAACGGACGTCTGGTAACGAACGTCACAATGAATCACTAATGCGACACAATCGATGAAATTTTGATGTAGGGAGAGCGTATCTAGTCTGTGAGAAGGGTCTGTAACTATTCTCTCCGCGGAATATCGATCACGTCCCTCGGTTCCCCCCTCCCTGCCCCGGTTACATTACGCGTGTCGAATTTCAAATTAACTCGAGCGCACGTCAAATTCGTCTCACGCGTGTGCTTAGAGCGCGTTTACTTGTTTAGTCAGCTTCCGAGCTTCCCACCGTTTTATGCGACGGCCACCCTCGATTATCCATCGATGAGGATCCGGTCTTCAAACACACGTGTTTGAGATCAGTTAAGCCGAAAGCCGGATAACGCGGAAGAACTTTCGGATTCTACGTAAATCCTCGATAAAAGCTACCGTCTGTCGACTACACGTTCAACGAGGGACAACAGACGACGAAAGTTACGTATGCAAAGAGAGAGAATACATGAAATGAAAATTTTCTAGTCACAGTTGATTCAGTAAGCTGTAATTTTTGTCACGGCTGAATTCATAACGGACCAATGAAGCAATATCGTTTCGCGCTGGCAAAAATAAAAATTAAACGATAAAGAGACTCGATATTTTACACCGCAGGCTTTTCACAAGGATACCCGGCAGGGAGAAGAAGAAACTCTAAGTTCTCCCGCAAAAATCCACACAGAGGGACATTCTTTCGGGATGTTACTTTATGAAACATTGCGAAACCGAGAGATCTCTCCCATCGACGGACGGTTGCGAATAAGAAATTACCGCGCTCCGCCGGACGTTCCGCGTTAATTCGCGGCGCAAGATCGCGCCGTGTGTTTACCCGTACCCAGAGATTCAACGAGGATTAAGAAAGTAGTACACGCGTGTTACGAAATATTAACAACCGCCCGGCGTGGGGCAACTCTCGGCTATATTTTCTCCGGCCCGTGTGTGTTCATCGACCGCCCAGGGAGTCGCGTATATCCGCGAGCGTAGCGCACGCGCCGCGATGCGACGCGACGTCCCGGTAATTATCGAAAAAATGCGCGCAGGGTCGGACGTCGTTAAATTAATTAAATAACCGCACGAACGGCGGAGAAAGAGACCTATCGGAAGCGGCCGCGCGCCGTTACACAATACACCAGAAGCGGCCGCGATATCCATCAATGCTGCGCCGCCGCGTTCGGAGCCACGATAATGCAACGGACCACCGTTGCGAGTCGTTAGAGAAAGAGAAAGAGATTCACGAGAGAGAGAATCGGAGAGGAATAGGTAGAAGGAGACAGAGAGAAAGGAGGGAAAGGGAGGAGGGATACGCAGCGTGGAAACGGGCATTAATCAATCTGCGCGCGTGGAAAGCCGCGGTTAGCGGGACGGTGCCTCCGCCGGCTTAATAAAGTTGCAAATCGTTTCTGCGCATGTACACGTCGTGATTAGACGCGTGACACGCGTTACGCTATCCGCGCGCATATCTAAGAAGACCGTTCGCGCCCGTTTAAAAAGCTCCACGTGTCTGTCCGTCACCGTTCTCTCTATCGCGGTATAACGTTCTTCTCCGTAGCGAGAACGTTGTGTATGACCCTTAGGAATGTGAACGCCTCTCTTTCTCTCTCTCTCTCTCTCTCTCGGAACTTCTTCAGCGTTCGTCAATTAAAAGCTCGTCGAGCTCGTTGCGGAATCGAAGGGAGAGAGCTCGATAAGATAATGTTCTCTTACTCTCTCCCTCTTCGGGATTCGAATTTAACGTCGA